AGGAGAAGGAAAACGATGAAGAAAAACTAAGAAAAGATGGAGAAACGGACCGACGGTGATGAAGCGGTGGCCACGGGGCGGTGGTCGATGGTCGACGACGAGTAAGGAGGTAAACCGGAGCAAAAATCTGGTTTTGGGCGAGCTAAGGTCGGCCATGGGAGGAGGAAGAAGAAGAAGAAAAGAAACCCTAGGCGAAATTGCACTCTGGACCTTCTTTTTTTAAAAATTTACAAAATTTGCCCAAACTTTTAATTCGTTCTGAAAGACCCTCACTGAAATAACAGATTTTTCCAGAACTTTTTAATTTTTATCACCCACCCCAATTCATTTTTTTTTAAAATTTTCGTTCGTTATAATTCCACCACCCTTAAAAGAAGAATTCGTCCCGAATTCTAGAACGACTTAATATAGTATGTACAGGTTCTTTTTTTTCTTACCAAAAAGATGAGGATAACGAGTTTTCATGTCTTCCTCCAATTCCCATGTCGCATCTCCTCCTTTATGATATGTCCATATGACTTTTACTAGAGGAATTCCTCTTCGCCGCAGTTGTTTAACCTTCCGTTCAACAATCTCGATAGGTTCTTCCTCATAAGTCCCATCCGGTTTTAACTCAAGCGGTTGATAATCAATAATGTGATCAGGGTCAGGATGGTACTTCCGAAGCATGGACACGTGAAACACATCATGAACTTGTGCCAACTCGGGGGGTAAGGCAACCTTATAAGCCACAGCTCCTATCTTACTCAATACCTGGAAAGGTCCAATGAATCTGGGTTTTAGTTTTTCCGTCATTCCGAAGCGTGCTTTTCCTTTAGTTGCTTGTACTTTGAGAAATACTTCGTCATTCTCTTGAAAAGTTATGTCACGTCTATGTTTATCCGCGTAACTTTTCTGTCTATCCTGTGCTGCCTTCATCTGTTTCTGGATTACTTTAATCTTGTCTGTGGTTTTATCCACTATATCAGGACCCAACAATCGTCTTTCTCCAACTTCTGTCCAACAGAGAGGTGTCTTGCAAGGTCTTCCATATAACGCCTCAAATGGTGACATCCCGATACTTGAATGAAAGCTGTTGTTGTAAGCAAATTCCACAAGCGGTAAGTGGCGATCCCAATCTCCTCCCCAATCCAATACACAAGCACGTAACATATCCTCCAATGTTTGTATCGTTCTCTCTGATTGTCCATCGGTCTGAGGATGATAAGCCGTACTTAATCGTACCTTAGTGCCCATAGCCTCTTGGAAACTGTTCCAAAATCTCGAAGTGAATCGTGGGTCTCTGTCTGACACAATACTAGTAGGGACTCCATGAAGTCTTACTACCTCTTCTATGTAAACTTGTGCTAAACGAGGCATTGAAAACGTCTTCTTAATTGAGATAAAATGTGCTGACTTAGTCAAACGATCCACAATAACCCATATCGCATCATTTCCCTTTGGTGTCCTTGGCAAACCAACTACAAAATCCATCGTCACTAAGTCCCATTTCCACTGAGGTATCGATAGCGACTGTAGTTTTTCTGCAGGTACTTGGTGCTCGGCTTTAACTAACTGACACGTTAGACAATGAGTAACAAATCTTGCAATATCTAATTCTTTCGTTTTTTCATCTGTTTCTTGAGCCATCTTCACCTTTTCCAGCCAACTATTCCATTTTATAGCACTAGTTTCCAATCTGTCTTGATTCTCCTGAGCTGATATCTGCATTAAACTCAATTGAGTTGTTAGATCACTTGTCAATCTCAAAGTAGATAACTCAACTTTCTTTCTACTCAAGGCATCTGCAACCACATTAGCTTTGCCGGGATGATAGGCAATATCCACATCATAATCTGCCACTAATTCCATCCACCTGCGTTGTCTCAAATTTAGTTCCTTTTGAGAGAACACATACTTGAGACTTTTATGGTCAGTGTATACTTGAACTTTTTCCCCGTACAAGTAAGATCTCCAAATCTTCAATGCAAAAATCACAGCTGCAAGTTCTAAATCGTGAGTAGGGTAGTTTTCTTCATGTTTTCGAAGTTGGCGTGATGCATACGCAATAACGCGGTCTTCTTGCATCAACACGCATCCTAACCCTTGGTGAGAGGCATCACTATACACCACAAACGGTTTTCCGGGCTTTGGTAATGCCAAAATAGGAGCTGATGTCAATCGCTTCTTCAACTCTTCAAAACTTGTCTCGCATTTTTCGTCCCATTCAAACTTCACACCCTTTCCCGTCAATCTCGTCAATGGCTTAGATAGGTTGGCAAAACCCTTTACAAACTTTCTGTAATACCCAGCCAACCCGAGGAAACTTCGAATCTCTGTAGCATTAGACGGTCTCACCCAATCAACTATAGTCGACACTTTGGATGGATCTACTTTCACTCCTTCCGCAGATACCACATGCCCCAAAAATCCTACCTCGTGCATCCAAAAATCACACTTACTCAGCTTTGCATATAACTTTTCTCTCCTCAAGCGTTCCAACACCTTCTCCAAATGTATCATATGATCCTCACGAGATTTGGAATACACAAGGATGTCATCAATGAAGATGATAACAAACTCTCCAAATAATCTCTGAATGTTGTGTTCATCAACTCCATAAAAACTGCTGGTGCATTAGTAAGTCCAAACGGCATGACAACAAATTCAAAGTGTCCATACCTTGTTCTGAAAGCAGTTTTCTTTATATCATCATCTAGAACACGTATCTGGTGGTAACCTGATCGTAAATCAATCTTCGAAAACCAACTAGCACCTTGAAGTTGGTCCAATAGCTCATCAATTCTTGGAAGTGGGTATTTATTCTTTATTGTTACCTGATTCAATCCTCGATAATCGATGCATAATCTCATACTCCCATCTTTCTTCTTAACAAATAGTACAGGAGCACCCCAAGGAGAAGTACTAGGTCTTATAAAACCTTTTCCAATCAACTCCACCAATTGCTTCTTTAACTCAGCCATTTCTGAAGCAGCCATACGATAAGGGGCTCTAGAGATAGGTTCAACTCCCTGTTTCAACTCAATAGGAAAAGATATCTCTCTTAGAGGAGGTATTCCCTGTAGATCTTCCGGAAAGACATCAGGAAAATCATTAACAACCGGTATATCCTCTAGTCTACTTGATGTTTCCGGTCCGTTTAATTCTATTACCGCCAAATATGCCTCACTCTCTTGTTGAATTAGCCGGTTTACCCGCACTGCTGAAATAAAAGGGAAACTTGAAGTCTTTCTTGCACCCTCAAACTCTAGTACCAAGGATCCCTCTTGTTCAAAACGAACTCTACATCTCTTACAATCAAGATGAGCTCGATGACTTGATAACCAATCCATACCCAAAATCACATCATATCCCTTGATTGGTACCACTATCAGATGAACAGGTAAGTCATGTATACCAATCAGAACCGATACATCACGAATCATTCCTTTCGATTCCATTTCCTCTCCACCAGGTGTATGGACCAATACTCTACCACTATTAATATCAGGTGCAATCTTCATGCGATTTACATGTGTGGGCGAAATAAAACTATGTGTCGCCCCTGTATCAAAAATGGTATGAGCTTGTTCATCTCCAATACTCAACATACCTAAGAAGAGAAATGATATGACCAGTGAATTACACCTATAACTAATTAACCACACCTACATTCGAAATTAGTTTTAACTAGCCATATTTATCACGATTTCCTATTATATTTAAATGAAATATCAACATACCTATGATTGTTGTCGTTTCTTCTTCCTCTTGCTCTTCAGTTCCTAGAGCATAGACCCTAGGCTTCACCGCTGGTCTCTTAGCAGCTGGTTGTTGATGAACTGGTCTTTGTTCAATCCTCTTAGGTGCTTCTCTTTTTAACTCGGGACAATCGCTCTTATAATGTCCCGCCCTTCCACAGTGGAAACAAGTAATCTGGAGCAATCTACACTCGCCAAAGTGACGTCTCCCACATTGTGAGCACATCGCGATACCGGACGCATAAGGTTGTATAACTGTCTTGCCCTTACTCTTGTCATCTTGGACTAGACGCCTATGACTGGGGTTAGTCGACCTCTTAGTAGATGCTTCGATTTCACGTTCTGTTCTCTCAGCTCGATCAGCCATATCAACTATTTCTGACATCGAGTTGATTTTCAAAAGTTCCACCTATAGATAAACAATCTCAAATTAGCAAGGTAACATTATCTCAATGAGATATATGTGGTTGTTCGAAACCTACCTTTGCCTTGAGAGATGGACGAAGTCCTCTTACGAACTTCTTTATCCTTATGTATGGACCAATATTCTACCACTATTAATATCAGGTGCAATCTTCATGCGATTTACGTGTGTGGGCGAAACAAAACTATGTGTCGCCCCTGTATCAAAAAGGGTATGAGCTTGTTCACCTCCAATACTCAACATACCTAAGAAGAGAAATGATATGACCAGTGAATTACACCTATAACTAATTAACCACACCTACATTCGAAATTAGTTTTAACTAGCCATATTTATCACGATTTCCTATTATATTTAAATGAAATATCAACATACCTATGATTGTTGTCGTTTCTTCTTCCTCTTGCTCTTCAGTTCCTAGAGCATAGACCCTAGGCTTCACCGCTGGTCTCTTAGCAGCTGGTTGTTGATGAACTGGTCTTTGTTCAATCCTCTTAGGTGCTTCTCTTTTTAACTCGGGACAATCGCTCTTATAATGTCCCGCCCTTCCACAGTGGAAACAAGTAATCTGGAGCAATCTACACTCGCCAAAGTGACGTCTCCCACATTGTGAGCACATTGGGATACCGGATGTATAAGGTTGCACAACTGCCTTGCCCTTACTCTTGGACTAGACGCCTATGACTAGGGTTAGTCGACCTCTTAGTAGATGCTTCGATTTCACGTTCTGTTCTCTCAGCTCGATCAGCCATATCAACTATTTCTGACATCGAGTTAATTTTCAAAAGTTCCACCTATAGATAAACAATCTCAAATTAGTAAGGTAACATTATCTCAATGATATATATGTGGTTGTTCGAAACCTACCTTTGCCTTGAGAGATGGACGAAGTCCTCTTACGAACTTCTTAA